TTTACTGTTACAAGGTCATGCCCTTTGGCCTAAAGAACGCAGGGGCGACATTCCAACGGATGATCACCAAGATGTTTGAACCATTGTTAGGCAGAACAATGGAAGCTTACATAGACGACATGGTGGTCAAGAGCAAGGACGAGAAGGACCATCTCAGGGACCTAGATGAAATGTTCCAGATCCTAAAGAAAAACAAGTTGCGCCTTAATGCATCCAAGTGTGCATTCGGTGTAGGATCAGGCAAATTCCTAGGCTTCTTGGTGACCAACCAAGGTATCGAAGCCGACCCCTCTCAGATCAAAGCAATCCAGGAATTGGAGAGACCAAACTCAGTCAAAGAAGTACAGCATCTTACTGGCATGGCGGCTGCACTCAACCGATTCATCAGCCGATCGTCAGACAGACTACAACCATATGTGGTATGTGAAATATTTTATTTAACAACTATTGGTGTCAGGGGTGATGTACGAAGGGTCCCCGGGGGGGGGGTGTCAAGATACGCCTCTCATTTTCTATTAGGTACGTGCCTACTCCATTGATACTAAAAATGATGTGTTTGGTTGAGTTAAAATTAAAGATTTAAATTTGTGCTAAAATTAGGGATTTTGACTTCTTGTGAATTGTGTTAAAAATAAGTGATTTTAGTTGTGTATATATGGGGAAAAAAATGATGGCATTAATAATGATACTACTATGGAAATTTTTCGAAAGATGAAAATTTGTAAAAGAACTTAAGCATAGCTCAAGTCGTTGTACCTCTAAGTTTCTAGAGGGAAGTTTTGGGGTTCAAGCTTTAAGAGAAGCATCGAATGTTTAGTAGTACTAACTTCCTAATCTGCTAATATTTTAAAACTTTTGTAATGAAAATTTAGATTTTTATGCTTAATATTAGCTTAAAAAATTAGTATTATCTTATTGTTGTTGATTTTGGATAGAAAACTTTTGCGAGTGTAATATATAGTGACCCGTTGAATTAATTTCTTGGCTCCACCATTGATTGTTGTGATGTTATTTGATGCACCTTTTGGTTGTAGGGTCTTCAATATAATGAGTGGAGGTTTGGCAAAAACTCCCGTACCTTTCCTTAAGCTTAAATCATTAATTTTGAACCATATAAAAATCACTATTTTTTGCTGATATATGTGATTTTTATAAAGTCATTGAATTATTAGCATGCTAGGCAAAACACTTCTGTCACATTTTTTTGTTAGATTCCTTCAATGGGACATAAAGTCCATGGCCCAATCCCTCCCTTACCCCACATTTCCAATACCAGCACAGAGCTTTTCCATGACAGATAATACAACTAACCTTCTCTCAATATCAGATATTTTTTGCTTTTTCTTTTTCTTTTTTCAAATTGCAAGTTTCTACTGCACATAATGTCTTTAGTTGGTGGTATAAGCACATTGATGTGTTTGTGTTACATCCTTGCATGCGTTAGGAATCCGAAACTCATAACTAGGATTGGTGAGACGCGAAAAATAGAGAACAGCAAAAATACAAGAATTGTAAAACACGCCCACACATAAGAATTTTGTTGTTCACTTCAAAAATATATTCACTGCTGTGATACATCAAATGTAGCCTCTGTTGTGCCTATGTAGCATGGTCCCAGTTAGCTAGTTCAATAGTATGGAGTTCTGCCCATTGAAATTGATTAAAACATAATCTGATCACCCTACGTACTTGTTCTGTATTTGTACATTTTTTTGAATCATTCGATATTGGAGCTTTACTGCTAGAGTGTCTGGTATTTATGCAACTTGCCTGTGAGAAAATATAGATGCATCATGAATATCCATGGATTCATTTATCCATTCCAAACCAAGTCATCCTCGTGGCTTCCATTTAGAAGAAGTTGTTATCTACCATTACCAAAAGCTGTCAGTTGTTTATTCCTGAATCTGAAATGCTACTCACCTGGAAGATATTTTAAGCTTTGAACTGTTTATTAAATTGTACTGAATATAACTCTGTATGAAATGCAATATCTATTATCTTTAGAGCATCAACCTAAATTTTGTCTCAAAATTGGTTTCTGAGAATTGCTTGTCATGTGCTTATTACTTGAGCTAATTGGAAAAGGAAAAACAATTGTTTCTCCTGTTACTATGATCATTCATGTTTTAAGCAATGTGCATAGGTGGGTGAAGATGAATTTGGATACATGCTTGCTGATATTTTAAAGGAAAATAATGTAAACAATGAAGGAATGCGCTTTGACCCTGGTGCCCGAACTGCTTTAGCATTTGTGACACTGAGAAATGATGGGGAGCGTGAGTTCATGTTTTACTGCAATCCTAGTGCTGATATGCTACTTCAAGAAACTGAACTTGATTACGATTTAATTAGGAAGGTAATTGAGGAGTATTTTGATAACTAAATAAAAGGGAAACAATGAGGAGGAACTAAATATTATAAACCCACTTTGTTTTTATTTCAGTTGTTGTCTACCAAGTCATTTTCTTCAAAAGGGACTCAGTTTATGCCTCCCCTCTTGCTCCTCTTCCCTCTGTCTATGCCTCTGAGCATTTATGTCATAAAGGGCTTCAGTTTTTGAAGTATTTACAGTTTATCTGCCCATATTTGGAGTCTGCTTCTGGATATATATGATTATGTTCGTACCACAATACACATAATTGTGTTTTTATTATATGTTCAATTGTGTAAAAAAATCTAGTAATTTATAACACCCTCTGGCGGGCAAAAATTGTTCATTATGGTTCCATAAGTTTGATTACAGAACCATGCAAGTTAGCCCATATTGTAGCAGCAAAAGCTGCAAAAGATGCTGGTGTGATTTTGCCTTACGACCCCAATCTGAGGCTACCATTGTGGTCATCTGCCGAGAGTGCCAGAGAAGGAATTTTGAGTATATGGGAGATCGCTGATATTATTAAGGTATTCTTCATGTTAAATAAACTGGTGTGGTGTCTGTGAATCCATTAAGATGCATATCGCTCTCTTGGTTAAGTACCATTCTAAGGGGGTGGTTTTCTCAGTTAATGAGTTGCTCTTTAATTTGAATTCTATCAGGGGGCTTTGAGCTGTGGTTGTTGCTGCCTTTCAGTGGTTGCTACTGTCTTGTTGTTGTGTTGTTCTCCTTGGTGTCTGTTTGCTTCTTGTTTCTTTTTGGTTTCTGCTGGTTGGTCTCTCTCCAACTAGCTTTTGGCTTGTGTTAGCACATGATTGGGTGGCTTTCTTGTGCCAACCTAGTTGGGATAAGTATGGTTCACTATGATGTTAGCAGCACGGCCTTTTTGTTCCTTTATTGATGTCAGATGTAAGGATTTTTTCCTTGGTTCTAATTCAATAAAGTTTTTTGTTGATCAAAAAAAAAAAAAAAAGGTCTATAATCTCAAAAAAATTAACCAGAAAAATACTCAAAATATTGTATCGCTGGTGTACATTTAGAGGATATATAGGATGATCTACATAAGTATATTTTTTTAATTTTTTATAAAAGATGTGCAAAAAAAAAAAAAAAAATAGAGAGGTCATGTAATTCAAAAAATATAAAAATATAAAAAAAATGTGTTAATATAGAGGATGTCAAATAGTGCCTTAAAATTGTTGTGGATCCATATTATAAGTAAATCTTGACTTTTGATTAAAAACTGTAAGTGATTTTCTAATTTATTTATCTATTTTTTTTATTTTTTTTTATTTTTTAAAGTTTGTTGACTGACTGACATAAGGCCAACTCATAAATAAATTAGAAGACGACTATAATTTGCCTTACTTTTTTTAAATTAAGAGGTATCTTTATCTTTAGCAGTGTTTTGTTATAGAATGAATGCTTACAAAACGAAAGAAAATTTTAGGTTTAACTGATTTTCGAATATACCGTAACAACCAGGGAGATGCTAAAATATATACTTCAAAAAATGTGTATGTGGTTTGTTTTTGATAATTTTTTTTTATAAAATTTCATAATTTAAATAGAAAATGATACAACCTTTTTTATTATAAAAGTCATAATTTTTTTTATTATAAAATATCATAACAAAAATCATAAAGTATCATAATATTATTATTCCTAATTTTAAAGTGCACGTCATAAATTTATTATTCATAACTTTACTAAAAAATAAATATCATAATACCCACAAAAATAATTTTCTTATAATATCTTTGTAAATGGTGCCGGTCGTAGATTTCCCATCAACAATTAACAATAGAGGTATGTACTTTCTTGTCAAGGAATCACGCTACTATTCTATTTATTTAATTTTTTGAAAAATAATTTAGATTTCTGAAAAAAGAGTTCTAATAGAGTTTTAACTTGTCTTTTTTCTCCTCTTTTTTGTCTTTTACTTCACTATTTTATTTTATTTTTAATTCATGGACAGCTCATTAGAGCTATATTGCAGCAGCTCTAATTAAAGCTCTGCAGCGGCTCCGTTATTTTTTATTTTTTATTTTTTATTTTGGATAAAAATTAATGATTAATTATTAGATTAATACTTTAAAAGAGTTGAAACTCACACTTATACACTTTGCAAGAAAATCTTGTTCTCCCACTCCATTACTAAGAATAGAACCCAAGACCTCGCCAAAGGACTAGCCAAATTGTAAAAGCCTATTTTATAAATCTATCATTTTAAAAAAATAGTGACTTGCATCAACATTGAATATGAGAGAAATCATTCCAAACATACTAACTATTTTCATCTCGTTTGGGAAGTGAGTTAGCTTTTTGGCTTTTTGGTTTTTTTGGCTATCTTAGCCTAGGCTAAAAAGCTTGGTTTGGAAAGGACTTTTTGGCTTTTTGGCTTTTTTAACTTTTTTTTGTGAGAGAAGAGTGTAATGATTATGGGTTAGATATGATGTTTTGTTTGTTGTGAC